TCGCTGTGCTTCTAACACAAGACATGTCGATAACCATTGTTTAAAAGAACAAAAAAATGTTGTTTGTTTTTGGCAACATTAAAACAATGCTCTTGCTAGCCGCCCGGAAGGGGGAAAATCAACGTTATGTGAACGAGTCTGAGCCTCCGAAGGCGAAACCATTTATTAAATAGAACACCAGCGATTGATGACATACATTTTCCCTCCTTAACAATCTTATGAACTAGAAACGCTACATAGTATCACCTCAAGGAGTGATAATGCAGATTACCGCGAGTTCCTTAAAATCTAAAGCGATTCAAAGTATTGGTTAAACTTACAGTACCTCAAACTTTGCCACGTTATCCCTATTCAAGACGAAATGGAACTCCTTGGCGTCACTATTGATAACAAGCTTAAGTCTGAGGGACATATTCGTAAAATCTGTCGTAAAGTTGGTCAAGAGGTTTGCTGTTCTCAATCGTGTGAACAAAAAATTCCCTTTTGAATTGAGGATAGATATATGTCGTGCTTTCATTGCACTGCATTTCAATTACTGCTCAGAGTCGTGGCATTGCTGTGGTAAAAGAGGTTTCGGCAAACCTGAAAAAATCAATGAACGAGCCCTTTGCTTTGTGACCTGCGACAAGTCAACCATGTACAAGACGTTGCTAAAACAACTAAACCTGCTGTCCCCACTTAATCAAAGAATAGTTAAAATGGCCACTGGTGTTCACAAAGCTATCCATGGGTATAAAGTCCCTAGAGGAATAGGAGGGCTATTGCATGAACAATCAACTAATTATAATCTTAGAGGAAAACACATCCTCGAGCTACCCAAAGTAAATACAACCACATATGCACTTAAATACTGCAGCTAAGATTTGGAACGCTCTTCCAGATCAGTTTCGTGCCACTAATAAAATTGGAACATTAAAAACTTAATGTCTAAGTTGGATTTGTCAAATTTTACATTTCAATCGCTCAAATACATGTAAATACATTTTGCTTAGTTTTAACATCAATATGTAAGTCTCATGATCTACTCTTAGTTTTAATAATTTTTAACTGTATATATGTATATATATTTTTATATAGGTTTTTATGAGAAATCTTCTCTTTCTATGATTATTTCTAGTTTATTTATTTTATTTTTCGTGGCACGTCTGTAAAGTAGCTAATTAGCTAAGAACATTGATCACGTTAAATAAAGGGTATTGTATTGTATTGTACGTAAAAGCAGTCCTTGGTCTTCTCAAGTTGTGAAAGTGAAAGTTCAACTTTAAAAAGCTCTTAAAAGTTTCCATAGAAACGAATAAAAAGTCATTTCCTGTTTCACATAAGTTATTTACCTCCAATATATCTTTTTCCCGAGCTTGTTCTATTTCTGTTTTAAAGTACGATAAAAGTAAAAATTCTGCCAAATATTGCAAAATTTCAATGAGCAGATTTTGAGAAATCGTCTTCTGTGTACCATTGCTTTTTCACTGCCATGTTTAATAGTCTAAGTCAAAACATGTGCCGTCACACGAGTTGCCACTGACTGCCTGCAAAACTGTGTTCAGCCACCTTAACAAACGCATAAAAGCTGCCCTTTGAAACATCAACCGTCAACATGGTCTTCAAAGCTGATTACAACTATCGCTGCTTCAAGCGAACCTGATTAATTCCAATTCTTTCGCTCACTGCTCTGAGACGTGGTTGAACTATGACAGATTCAGTTTATCATGGTTGCCAAATTCTTAGAGCAAGGACAATGGCTTTACAGCTTCTGCAATGATGTGTTAGATTCTGCTTTGTCATCAGACATTTTAGGAATTCGCTTTGATCTTATTGGAATGGTGTCCATAACCAGTCCCATATTATGCCCTTTCCTTTCCAAGCCTAGCTCAGTGGGCAGTTGGTCTGCGTATTTGCCAATGGAATGTCCAACGCTTAACAGATAGCAAGCTTGAAGAGATCCGGTCACTCTTAACTCGACCTGGCAATGAACATGATAGACTGGATATTCTAATTCTATCTGAGACCTTTTGCACCCAAAAAGTGCCGGATTCTTACTATAACACTGATGGATGTCAGCTTCGTCGAAAGGACAGAATGGGGAAGTCAGGTGGTGGAATACTTGTTTATGTAAATAATTCGATTCAGATTTTGCAGCGTTTTTATGAATGGATGTTTTTGAAATTTCATGGTGCATAGGAAATCGATGTTGATATCTCCCAATAAAATGGTCTCCTTGTTGAGAAGATGTACGTTCTCAATGTTTTTCCCGAGCCTCTTGTCATCTGCCACTCTAAACGAAGGAGGCCTGTAGACACCACCAATAAAAAGAGAGTGACTCGATTTGTAGGGGCAGACCTCTAACCACAAGATTTCTAGGTCTTCGGCTTCAAGGTCTTCCTGTCTCTTTGCCTGAAATATGTCACAACTTGTACTGAAAATTACCCGATTATTGTCCAAAACATGCCTCGATCACATCTGGAGTAGTCACCCTGAGCGGTTAATAAACGTGCGGGTATTATCTACTGGTATGTCAGATCACTTACCAACCATTGTGACAAGAAAATACAAGGGCTTGCAACAAAACAAAACTGAGCATACCACAATCACCTGCCGTGACATCAAGAATCTTAATAAAGAACAGTTTATTGCTGCGTTGAAAGAGGCACCTTGGAATTCTGCGTTTATTTTTAATGATCGTGATGACGTTGTTGATGCCTGGTACGATATTTTCCAAGGCGTAGTCAATAGATTCCTTCCTCTTAAACATAAGCGAGTGAAACGTAAGTCCCAACCTAAATGGTTCAATAACCACATCGTCGACGGATTTAAGGAGCATGATAAACTTCTCACTTAAACCAAGAAAAGCGGTTCCGACCACGACTGGCTTAATTACAGGCGAGCGAAAAATTATGCACCTATCAATGTAAACCCCGTGGGGGGGGGGAGTGCGGGCAAGGGGTGGGGATTTGACAAATTTTAAAATTTTTTGATCAAATTCCCTAGGGTAGGAAACGAAAGGTCAATCAAAAGTGTCAAAAGAGACCCCACCCCAGGGGAAAAAATCTAAACAAACAATACTATAATACTATATAAAACGAATAAAAGAACATTTCAAAAGTACATTCTTACTACTTTTATTTAAGGTTAATGTAAGCTCGGTTAAGTTACTTGCTGTAATTAAGTATTTTCTCTCTCCACTAGCATTTCTTATTTTGAACAACAAAATCACTTCAGGAAGACTGACCGTGCTATTATAATATTAATGAAAGGTAAAATGCTTCATAACATCTGGATGTTATGTCATAACATCAACATGTCGGATCAGTGACTCGTAAAAAATCCTCTGACTTTCATGGTGGAATTCGATTTCCATCGCGTTTTAAAATCAGACGGGAACTTGAAGATAAAAACTTTCTTAAAATAGGCATTATAGACAGTTTAAAGTATCGGATTATGGCGATTAAAACAAATGAAAACTTCATACGTTTCTCCAACACCTGGTAACCGCTTCTGAATTGATACCAGGAATACCAGGCTTCTGTCAGTCAAAGTCAAATGTCCCGACCCTGGGGTCGCTTCGCACGATCAAAAGCCAGACAGTTGGATAGTCTCAGGCATCAAATCCCCTCCCCTTGCCCGCACTCCCCCCCCCCCACGGGATTTACCTTGATAGATGCATTACGTGACTAACTTAATTAGGCAAACAAAGCAAACATACTTTAAGACCAAATTCACGGAAAACAAGCATAATTCACGGAAACTTTGGAATCTGATTAAATGCCTGTCAGGTAACGGCAGTCCGGAACACGAATTGCAGCAATTAGCCGAGGAGAGTGAAATCATTACTAACAAAGGTGATATTGCTGAGACTTTGAATTGCTTTTTCGTCGACCAGCAGAAAAATCTGACTTCTCATATTGGTCTTAACAATGACTCGTCCACTGGAGCCAGGCCCCCTCCTCCGCCTCCCCTATCCCAGGTCTGTGGAACATTTAATATTCCACAAATATCCAGGGACAAAGTTGTTAATCTCCTTTCTATCCCAGTGTACAAAGCTACAGGCAACGACGGAGTGAGTGCCAAATTGCTGAGAATTGCTGCACCTGCTATCGCAGATTCCCTGTGTGAGCTAATCAATTTCTGTATCGAACAACAAACCTTCCCCACAAAGTGGAAAGTCGGTAAAGTGACTCCCATTTATAAGGGACAAGGAAACCAGGACGACAAGAACAACTATAGGCCGATAACTGTGCTTCCTATACTTTCTAAGCTACTCGAGAAGCACATTTGTGATCACCTTTGTGTCTTCCTGGAGGAAAACGCTCTGCTACATAGATTTCAGTCTGGCTTTCGCAAATTTCACTCTACCGAGACCGCCCTTATCCGCCTAGTCGATCAGCTGCTCTTTGACTTGGACAAGAACAGAGCATCGGGGCTAGTGTTTATTGACTATAAAAAGGCTTTTGACCTCATAGACCACGGTCTGCTTCTAGAGAAATTGAAAGCCTATGGGGTACGTCATAACGAGCTGGAATTACTACACAGTTGTCTAAGTGGACGCACACAGTATGTTCACATCAATGGCTGTCATTCCTCCCCAAGAACTGTGTGGTGTGGTGTTTCCATCCACATCCATTCACTTGACACATCATTTTACTTCTGCAATCTATGGCCATGTGACCGCTTCCAAAACAGTTGTCGCATAGTCTTGCTTGTTGAACGAAGCTTTTTCTTTCTTCTGGGCTCTTTGCATTTCCACAGTCTATGTTGACCAGAACATAAAGGACAAGTTACGATAGGAGCTGTGTTTACTTGAGGAAGGTCTTTCCTTTCGAGGACGGTGACTTTATTTTGGGCGGTGGCTTAGAGCTCCGTCCTTTGTCTGGTGTCGATCCAACTATTCGTCCATACATAGTGTTTGCCAGCAATGCTTTCTCTTCAACAAAACCAGCTAGATCTATGAAGGTAGGTTCCGTTCCAGCTAAGGTTAATGAACCGGCTCTGTCCGCCCATTTAGACTACAGATGAACAGGGAGACGCTTCACCACCTTAACGAGATTGTCCGAGCTGTTAACATCTGCCTCGTAGCCCATTTGTATGAGAGTCAGTGCGCAATTCTGCATTTCAACGGACAAGTCTAATAAACCAGTGGAGTCAGTATTCTTGATCTGCGGACCTTCCACAATCTTCATGATGTGGGCGTGGGCAATGATGTGTTTCTGTCCAAATCTATGGTACAAGATTTCTTGGGCTTTCCTGTAGCCTTGCTCTGGATCGGACATTATGGCACAGTTTTTAATGGCTTCCCTAGCCTTCCCAGTACAGTGTTGAATAAGGTAAGCTAGCCTCGTCTTGGGGTCCGGTATCCTCTTAGCGATGTTGACCTCGAAGTTATTTATGAACAGCCAGTAGTTAAGCGGGTTACCATCAAACGTCAAAGCTCTCTTTTCGGCATTTCAAATCCTTGTCGAATTGTGTACGCCATAAGTTGCAAAGCTTCTTGTTGCTGTGTTAATATTTCTTGCAACTGTTGGGAACCAGTGGGGTCTCCAGCGTCGATAGTGTTCTGCGGGGGTCCTAGGGGCCAAGGTTGAGCACCTGGATTCAGCACTGATTTAGAATAGTTTCTCCCAGCTTGCTTGAAGTCGCCACTCTTAAAGTTCGGTCCAACCTGAAGGTCTTTCGCAGGAGGTAAGGAATCGCGTGTTTCATCTTTGTAAACCGGTTTCAACCCTGCCTCGATACCACGTTTTGAATATTCCGAAGTTTCATAAAGCTCATCAACGGCCTTAGCTTTCTCTATTTCCCCTTCTGCGGTCAATAAAGCAATCCGGCGTTTCAATTCATCTTCTTGAATTTTCATCTCGGCTATTTGACGTTCCATCTGACGTTCCATCTCCTGGCACTTTAACAGATTCTTCAACTCAACTTCCCGACGACGAAGCTCGGCTTTAGCCTTTTTTTGATCGATCACTTGCACATGAGCTAGACTTGGAGCTCTTCGAATTTCTGCTACTTGAGGTGACAACTGAACGTGTGACAATCTGTGATTCGGCAGTATCACCGTAATCTTGGCGAGGAACCACTGAAGTGTTATCCACGGTACGTTGAACGGATCGCGACCATTCTTCAAAATGCTCGTTGAATTCCTTTTTTCCTGTCATTATGCTGTGACAAGCATTAAGCGCATTACTTGCTTGCTGTATGTAAACATCAATGGGAATTGTGGTGCAGAACCAAAAGAAGTGGGAGTGGCTGCCAATCCCACAGTAATTTCTTGAAAACTTCTGGACATGGTCCAAGTGAAATTCAGTGAATAACCAACACTTCCTGTCACAATCTTCCCTTGATATGATTCTGAGAATAGCTGCCCTGAAGAAAGAAGAAGAATCACTTCGTGAATTTTACTGGGGCCACTTTTGTCTTGGCAACCCACATGGAAGGGTCGTTTTCATCAACAAGTTTGTTGGGCGACATGAAAATCTTTTTTATTGCAAATATTCTTTAGAGATGAAAAGAAGGTGTAATGAATAATGTGAAAAGAGAAAATGTTAGGGAATCCCCCATTTTGAACAGTTGAGAGTTTTCGCATGTCCCTAACGTAAATATTGCGTGACAAAGGTTATCTGAAACAGTCTTTTTTGGTTTTTCATTAGTTAAAGCAGTGGTAGACTTTCTTGTAATGAGTCTTAATTATTTGTCAGCCAATATTTGACGAAGTTTCCTGTAGCGAGTGTGAATTGTAAGGTATTGAAACGCACAAACAAAGTTTCGTGCATGCAAGTTTAATAAGTTAAGATTTTTGTTTTGTCGCAGTGTGCACAGTTCAACAGCGACTAAGCTTTGTCATCGCTAGGATGAATACTGTAACAATATTTTTCAATACACAAGGATCTCATTTATTGATAAGTAGCAAGTATAGTCGCATTAACCATTCCGTTCCAAAACTAATCGAATTAATATTTGGCCCTAAGCCTATTTACAGATTTCAACTTCAGTTTTCTTCCTCGCATTTTGTAGTTTTTTCAAAACATTCCAAGGTTATCACAAGCTTGACTTTTGTCTTGCCTCGCCGTATGAAAACTAAGGAAGTCTCTTAATTCCTGGATGACCAAATTTCAAAAGGTTGAAAAACTGATTATGTGACCATTATTTTCTTTAATTCAGGCTTTTTACTCACAACTTTATGCCACATTTTCCACATTAGAAGAGTATTTTTTCCGTGGGAAGTTAACCACGATAGTTTTTGAAAAACCTGGTAGAAAAAATTTCAGAACGTTAACTGATTAATAGACTTTAAGTGGGTTAATTTTTTCAGGGATCTTGACTCAATTTAGACAAGCACGAGTCAAAGATATTCAATGTTGCGTGGCTTTGTTTTTTTTCACTCCCTTAGGTCCCTCATAGTGCTTGCCGAAGAGCGACTGACCACATTTGACCCCGTATTACTGATAGACCCTGATAAAACGAGGTAGACTTCTTAAAAGTCTTAATTAAATCGTGTAAAAAAGAAAAGCTAAACTTGGAGCCGAATATGTAATTTTCCAAACCGTTTTGCCTTTGTGCATGGTTAAGCAAACATTTGGACCAATTAGTTAATTGGAAATAACTACCAATACCTACCAGTTTTGACGTTCTCAATGTGTGATTCCCAAATATCTATGGGAGTCCTCCCAGATCCATTGTTAAGGAACGCTTCCATAAGCCTAAGTTTTTTGCTGGGACTTCCAACTATACGCTGGTCTTTGAAACCCAAAATCTTGCCTTGAACTGTGACAACTTCCCATTCTTTAGAAGTATTAAGCACATCTAACACTTTGATATTTGCTGCTGGAGGTTCTGTAGGGGTTTGATCTTGAAATGAATATTCACTTTGTTGTGGAGTACTAATGTTAGTCATGTCTTTGATGATAATTTTATCTTTCGCTTTAGTGCAGGTAAAGTGAGTGAGCTTAATAGGAACATGTCTTTTTTGACTTTCAAGAAGTAGAGGTCTTTTATGGGGGCTATAGAGCAGGACCTCAACGTTCTTTGTCGCTGTTTAGAGTAGAAAGGTGCAGTAATCCAGAGTATTTCCCCTGTTTCTTCTGGGATGGGATAGGTCGTGGACATATCCGGTGGTGGTTTCTTTGACCAGCGCGACTTTTGGCCCGAAAGTATCTCCTGGTGCTTCCCATTTCTGTGTAGTCAATGGCCGTTTGATAGATGTTGCAGAAGATTGTTTATCTGCTGAAGTAGTTGAAGAGATCTTTTTGGGCGTTTCTGTCAAATTTTTGGAAGGATCTGACGTTGTACCTTTCTGGTTAGGCATGGCCAACTAACAACGACGGATGTTGGTTGGAAAATGAACACACTTTTATACTAGAATTTAGGATTGAAAATCCTTGACTTTGATTGGTTTCTTTTCAACCTTACCTCTTAGAAACAGGGTAATCAACTGCAGGATCATATTATTAGCTCGGGAACTGCAGCCCATTAACAACATTGAATAAAAAGGCAATTAACTAGTGTCGTTGAACGGTTTTAATTGTAAGGTGACAGTTTGTAGGATAAGAATCTGTCTCCGTTCACATTGAATTTAGAGTCCTACGTACAAGAATACTTTGTTAATAAAAATGGCCTTGAAAAACATGACCGAATTACTGCGTTGTTCATCCTCCATTCATGTAGTTGTATACGCAATAGCAGTGAAAATGCGTTAAAGTTCAATGTTTAGAAATCTGAAGTTTTCGCGGGTATATAACAAAACAGGCAAACATCACATGAATTAAAGGGCATTTAACCAATGTCGTTAAACGGTTTTAATATGTAAGGTGACAGTTTGTAGGATAAGAATCTGTCCCCTTTCACAGTGAATTTAGAGTCCTACGTACAAGAATACTTTGTTAATAAAAATGGCCTTGAAAAACATAACCGAATTACTGCCTTGTTCATCCTCCATTCATGTAGTTATATAGGCAATACCAGTGAAAATGCATTAAAGTTCAATATTTAGAAATCTGAAGTTTTCACGGGTATATAACGAAACAGGTAAACATCACATGAATAAATTGCATTGTTGAGCTGTGATTTTGCATAAAAGGTCTAATTATTACTTCATGATGATCAGTGTTGTATTGAGTAGGTCCTGGATTCTTCTCAACATCTTTTCTTAGTTTGAAATTCACATAATTGGTCATATGACTCACACAATTGCAAAAAAACAATGATACATATCGACATGCTTTACATTTTAGTTTCATTATCCTGTGATACTGCCTGCTAGTATAGAAAGACAACAAATAAGCTTTCTTGGGTATAGCCATTTTGGGTATAGCCATCTTTGGATCCCGTTTGTTATTACATTTATATTCAGTGCATGATAAAGTTTTCGCACCTTATTAACATAGTGATGGAGCTTTGAAGGCAGGTGTGTGAATCTTTGAAATCTTTTTGAAGACAAATTTCTTCAACATGCTATTGTTGTTATTGAGACCTCTTAGAAATAGCAGTGGAATTCTACTCGGTTGACGAGCATGTCTAGTTGGCCTTGTATCACGTTTTTTAAGATGATATAAAGTTAGCTTTGATAAGTGTTCACATTGATTCTCGATAAATTTCATGATGGAA